ACAGGAGCTATTGAAGGTGAGTCTTCCCCGTAGGTCTCAAAGAACCCAATCGTTGAATGATAACCCTGTATTTACGTTGCAGTGCTTGCAGACACGAGGCCTAATTTAAACGCTGTTATTTAAATCTCATACTGCTTCGAACTACCGTTTTTGATAGATGTCCCTGGTTCTTTATGCTAACATGTTTCACTATCTCCACTGCCTGGTAACCCACCGTTTATGTCCCAGTTTAGTCCCTCTCTTGCAACCCACGACTTATAACCATTTCGTTTATTTTTCTTTATGTATTCTTATTCACAGATAAAGGGCATTGGACCGACTACCTTTTCTCAATGCGCTGGCTTCCTACGCGTAAGGCCAAACTATTCGAATGTGCCCATGGATTCCTCAAAGTACGTAACGCAGTCTTATCGACATACATTTTCCCGTCTGGTTTTTTAAGTGCGAGTTGGTGCTTCCACCCTTGTAAGGTACAATTATCTTATCTCCTATTCTGGAGAATGTTGTATTCATTTGAAGTTGCCTTTCGTATGTCGAGTATTGCATTCTACCACTTTTGCCACCGCGAATTTGTGTCATGCATCGGCCTGGTTGGACACTTGTGAGTCCGTCGCATTGATCCTGACGTACTATTTCCATGTGCCCCCATATACATCTGTTGCACACACTTCACCTGCTTAAACTGCTCAAGAGCATTCAGCCATCTCAGGGCTATATCTGACCATAAGTGCTTCCATGCAAATCTTCGATAAAGTTGTACTCCATACACTATAATCACACCTTGCTCTACATGCCAATACACACACACATTCCTAAGCCATATATGAACTCCCAAAACATGCATCCCACCCCCTACAAATCGTTCAACTTTCCAGCAGCACCTATCTGATCCGCCTCGATGTCATCGTTACGACCGGCGCAACGTCACGTGTCAGCACGTGTACATCGTATTTAAGTAGCGAGAGTGTTCTTTGGTGTATTATGGCACCTTTTTTCTTGGCTAAGTCGTCTGTAGCACGAGTAGATGGGTTTTCTATCTCTGTCAGCCACTGCGCCCAATTTATAATTAGCTGGTATAATTCTAGTACTGCTCCTGCCGGCTAGCCCACACATACTCTCCCCAGATAGTTGTTGTTCCTTGAGGCTGGCCACTATCGAATGGGTTAACCCCAACGCGAATGTCAGTCTTTTGCCGAAGACACGCCCCCCCCCCTTGTAATACCATTAAAGAGTCAAACAACGTCCTCGTTCTGGTCTTCCTCCATTTTATTCCTCCCGATGGGAAGTTTATATTGTTTTCAGGGTAGAATCCCACTTTGGGTTCTAGATCAGCACGCTGGGACAGCCATCGAGTCGTCTTCTTCTCAATTACTTCCTGGGACTCGCATGTTCGCTTGTATCTAACGCACTTAACTAAAATAAAAATAGCAAACATAATAATGAACTGAAAACTAACATCATAACCGAACTTAAATATAAAGAAGTTAAGTAAACCAAAAAATAAACTAAAGTTGTTGCGCATGTAAATTGAAAGTGTGCGTGACACTTCGAGCCACGAACATTATTTATCTAACTCCAGAACGGTGAGTTGATGTAGAAGACCTATTCGCCAATTTTTTCAGGAATATGAACAAACCCAATAAACTATAAAGTACAATTAAGTAAAAAATGTCCTAATTTGTCACACCCAATAAACTATAAGTAACTAAGAAATTGAAGTATTTATGACGCGCCATTTTGTTGCGAATACATTAGAGAATTTAAACAATTTCTGGGACCCAATGTAGGATTCCACCGTTTTCAGCTGAGAAGAGTGACTGAGAGAGAGACAGGACAGCGATGCTGTTGCTGCTCGTTCCAGAGCCATTTTTTTATTCTCCCATCTCTTCACTCAATAGGGACGTGGAATTCATCTCTTTGTGCTCCGACGATGAAGACGTAGAGATGGAGGTGATTTCGGGCAAGCGTCGGCTCCGTCTAATCAGTGGAACTTCCGCAGGACCGGTAAAACGCAGGCGAGGCAAAGAGGCGGATTCCAGTGACCTGTCTTTCAACCCTCTTGACCAGACCGCCATCCACCCAGACTCCTATGACCTGGCCACTTCGTAAGTGACAATGTTACTCCTATTGTAGAATCTAGTTGTATTTCTCTTGCATTTATTGGACCCTCTTTTCCACCCTTCCTTCTGTGCGACTAACCGGAAAAAACCTGTCCACTTCCTAGCCTCATCTGCTATCTGCGATACGAAATCAGCGACGTCGGATGTCCAGCTCTCAGGAACGCCGCCCAGGTCCTCTATGATTCACCAAACCGTATGTTACCTACACCCCCCTTTTTGGCCCTTCGTGATGTATCCTATCGACAGTTCAACTGCTGGTTTCGATGAGGTCTACCGTTTACACTACAGCGAGGTAACGTAGGGGTGGTGACTGGTGCGTAAATTAGTTTATAGTGATAGTTGCAAAACCTGTTGCAATAGGAGCCGGTGAAGAATCAAATGCAGGTGTTGCGGCGTGATGCCTCTTTAGGCAGAGCTACTGGCAAGCCTGTCAACAAGCTTGCAGTGCTGCTATACATTATCTGTCGGATGAAAGTTAGGGAGAAGATTAGACCGTCTCTCCTCGTCAATCAAGGCTGTGCGAAGTCCTTTCTAAGCTCGGACGTGATGCACTATGGAAGTCAAGACCAAAAAAGACCTAGTCATTATGTCCGTGGACAAGAGTCATTGCACTATTGTATTGGAACGCATAGATTACCTTCAGAAATTAAAAGGTTCGTTGGAGGATCGTCAGTTGTATGTAAAGTCTCAGACACAAAATCAATGCGACCTAGTTGACATTGGAGAACCGACGCATGTGGTAACCCAAGATACGGCCTCGGCTGGATTCTGTGAGCTTCCCAAGATGCATGAAGAGGATCTTATTTGCGCTCTCTTTCAGCCAGCGAGAAATGGGACGTTTATGCAAAAGTGGGGTTAGTAGTTATTACAGCATTGATGGTTCGGTAAAAGCTCGAAAATGGTTGCGGGGTAGGTGGAATCTGGGTATAAATATGCCTTTCCTATAAATTGGAAAACAGGCATCCCAAGAAATGTAATTTGAAGGAAAGACGTTCTTTGGGTAAAGTTAAGCTTTTTCAGTAAATTTTCGAGCCTGGTTCTGCAGCTCGTCTTCAGCTTTGAGAGAATGTGCGACGATTAATTAAAATTTCAAACGTGCAGAAAAATCAAGTCATTTGGCGTGAGCGCTGGTTGACAGCTGGGGTTTGTCAGTCGGTATTGCTCGGCTCTCGTCTCTTCCATTTTTCTTTGAAATGTTTGTACATTCCATTCAACTCGATATGTCGATTGAGGTCATGCACTCCGATTATTTATGCATCAACCGACATATCGAGTTAGATGAAATGTACAAAAATCTCAAAGAAAATGGGAAGAAACGAGAGCCAAGCAATACGGACTGGCATAAACCCCAGCTATCAATCTGCGCTCACGCCAGATGACTATCGATTTTTCTGCACGTTTGAAATTTCAATTGTTCGTTGCCCATTCTCTCAAGTCTGAAGATGAGCTGCGGAACCAGTCTCGAAAATTTACTGAATAAGCTTAACTTTTTCCCAAATAACGTCTTTCCTTCAAATAAATATTTCTCTTAATTGATTTTCTGTGAGAATATACCACAGGTCTCTGAGCCAGTAACTGACTGTACGCACTAAGCCCTCACACA